ACCTTAGGTGTACATGGCTGGCACCTTAGCCAGTTGAGCTATAGGCACCGAGCCAGCAATTGTTAGATTTTGATGAATTTTGCAAGCAGGTTGTTAAATACAGCCACTCTAAAAAGTTTTTATAAAACTTACAATTAAATAAATTATATTTGCCCACTACAAAAGGCAAATGCCACATAAATTATGGTACGCCTCTCCAGGTTAACCAGGACCAAAGCACTAGCTTTTCAGCTCTGCCACTTCCAGGCTTTATGTTTTTGACCAAGACATCATTTTTCTCCTCTTAGCCTGTTTCCTAAATTTATAAAATGAGGATATACACTGCCTTCAGTAGGTAGGTGGGAAGTCAAAGGAGAGGGGAAAATATCACATTTATGAGAGCAATTTATGCTGATTCTTAGTTCTGCTTTTTATAAGATGTCTGGCTTTTTACAATACAACACAGGCCCCATTCATATATTCATTCATTCATTCACCATACAACTGCTAAGCACCTTCTATGTGCAAGACATGACCAGTATAGTTCTCATTCTTGAAGAATTTTCAGATTAATGGAGAAAGCAGACACAAAATAATCACAAGATAACTCCAGGGTGCTCTATGTGCAACTAGGATCAGCACAGGATATAGAGTCCCACCTTAAAATCTGGCTTTATCACTAGTATTGAATCTTGTGCAAGTTACTTCTCTGAGCCTCGGTTTCCTATTCTGCAGTCTTTCTTTGTTCATGCTCGTTTCCAAGTCCGGAACTCAGGGGATCCTCCCACCTCAGCCGCCTAGACTGCTAATATTCCAGGCATGAGCCACAGGCTTGGTCTCAAATAGGATATTTTATAAAATGTGTAGCTCAGGGCCTGCCTAGCACTCCTCAGGTATCAAATGAACTACATTCTCTAACTATACCTTGATCCTTTTCATCACAGGTATGCTTAATCTAAAGCAGCTTTCACCCTCCCCTTCACCAGTTAACTGTTTTGTTATTCATCTATTTCTTTCATAACATTTGTCGCTAACTTCTGGCATCTCTTTTATTCATGTTTACAGATTTATTGTCTTGTCTCTTGGTTAGAATGTATGTCCTTCAAGAGTAGAGATTTGTTGGCCTTATTCACTGCTCGTCTGTGGGCACTCAGTAATGTTTGTTGAATGTAATGTATGAATAATCACACTTCACTGAACCAAGATGGAGACCATGATGGCGAAAAATCTACCCCACAGCCTGGCTGTCAGAACTTAAGGACAACTAGACTATCACCAATTTTTACTTCCACTCTGATACATGAGAAAATGGAATTATTTGGAAACAGAAGCCTTGACTCTGAGGGCCCTAAACCTGCTGGCTCTGGCGGTAGACCCCGCGGCTGGAGCGACACGAGAGGAATGTGGGAAGTGGTTTTTGACAGCTGACAAACTACAGGGGGAACCGCCCACTGGGGCGGAGGAGGAAGTGGGCCTGACAGGAAAAGGAGAAGCTGGACTGATAAATAGGGCGGCGCCTGTGCCTCAGTGAGTAGGGCGCCGGCCCCAAATACCGAGGGTGGAGAGTTCAAACCCGGTCGCGGCCAAACTAAACAAAAAAATAGCCGGGCGTTGTGGCGAGCACCTGTAGTCCCAGCTACTCTGGAGGCTGAGGCAAGAGAATCGCCTAGGGCCAGGAGTTGGAGGTTGCTGTGAGCTGTGACGCCATGGCGCTCTACCGAGGGTGACAAAGTAAGACTCTGTCTCTAAAAAATATAAATAAATAAATAAAAAATAAAAAGCGCAGCCCTTGGCTTGGCGGCTCTACTGTGGCTCTGGGAGCGCTGCCCGGTTCGGGGAGCGGGGAAGTAGAAGGAGCGAGAAAAGGGTTGGGATTGGAAAAGAGAGGCTGCGAGGTGCCGTGGCGGCCTCCTCACGCACTCTGGGCCCCTGACCCACTGCTGCCGCGCCTCCTACGCCGACAGTCCCAGGGCCGCCCCTGTCCTACACCCAAAGGCCCCCTTCCCTGCATCTCTCCTTTTCAGGTTCTTGATTCCTCTTCGCCTTCCTCAGCCAGCTCCTCTTGGTGCACGCACGATTTCCCGTCGTTGTCCCCAAACCCCGAGATCTCCCCACACCCCAGTTCGAACCCTCACCGGCATCTCAGCGGCACCCAGGTCTCAAACCAGCAGAGAAAGATCAGGTTACAGCACGACGCTTCTGATCTGGCGGCCCAGGCTGGGTAAGCGGAAGAGACCCGGAAGAGGAGGGCAAAGAGAGAATGCAATGCTTCCGGCCTTACTGTCCCGCGGCTGGCTGCTGCGGCTGCGCAAACCTGAAAGGGCGCTGGGAGCTCGCGCCCTCGGCTGAGCTCGGAGTGTCGCGCATGCGTACAGCGCGCTTGGACTGTAGGAGTTTGAGAGTTACAGAATCCTGAAGACCAACTGCCTCCTTTTATTTTCAAGATCATCTTTCTAGTGAAGCATTCCCTTGTGATAGTATTTTGTTTTATTTTTTGAGACAGAACCTCAAACTGTTGCCCTGGGTAGAGTGCTCACAGCAACCTCCAACTCCTGGGCTCAAGCGATTCTCCTGTCTCCGCCTCCCAAGAAGCTAGGACTGCAGGTGCCCGCTACAAGGCCTGGTTATTTTTTGGTTGCAGCCATCATTGTTGTTTGGCGGGCCAGGCTGGATTCAAACCCGCCAGCTCAGGTGTATGTGGCTGGCGCCTTGGCCGCTTGAGCCACAGGCACTGAGCCTGTGATACTATTTTAAATTCAACCCCACTCCAGCCCTCTCCCTTGTCCTCTTTCACTTTGTTCCTTAGCTCTTACTATTCTCTTCTAACTTTTGCTGTTTGTACCGTCTGCCCATCCATGTGAACGTAAGAGGCTGCGATTTTGTCTGTTTTGTTATCACTGTATCTCCCGTGGATACCGAGTGATGGTACATAGTATGCATCAACAAATATTTGAGGGCATGAACCCAACACATTGCTTTTTTTTTTTTTCTTGAGATAGTCTCACTATGTCGCCCTCGGTAGAGTGCCGTAGCGCCACAGCTTACAGCAACTTCAAACTCTTGGGCTCAAGCGATTCTCTTGGCTCAGCCTCCCAAGTAGCTGGGACTACAGGCGCCCGCCACAGTGCCCCGCTATTTTTTTGTTGTAGTTATCATTGTTGGTTAGCTGGCCTGGGCCGGGTTCCAACCCACCAACTTAGGGGTATGTGGCTGGCACTGTAACCACTGTGCTACGGGCTCCAAGCCGACCCATTGCTTTTCAAAAAGGGGAAATTGCTCGGCGTGAAGGACAGTGCCTATGGTCCCAGCTACTCAAGAGGCTGAGTTGGAGGAAGATTGTAGTGAGCTATGATCGTGCTGCTGCACTCCAGCCTGCGCGACAGAGACCCCATCTAAAAAATAATTTTTTTTTTTTT